GGCTGCCGCAGCCGCGGCCGCGTTCAATGCCGGCAAAGGTGTCTGATGGCAGTGTGCACAGTGCAAACAGACCGTGCAAGCGCCCAGCTTCCGGGCTAACAGCGCGCGAAGCTTCAGGGCTGGACCTAGCTTCATTCCCATAGGCCCGGTTAAATGATCCTCCGAAAGAAGGGGCAATGCCGCTCCATCGATCCGGTGCTCGCGGAAATTCTGCAAAAGAAACAAGGACGATGGTTATTTCTATTTGACAGCTTTGGTTCTTATTGGAAAAAGATTCGACGGTGTCTGGATGCAAAGGTAAAAATTCTTTGTTGCACAGTTCCTAACAAGGTATATAACGTTTTCAAAGGACATTTAATAGATTTATCAAAGTGATCCGCTCTTTAAGTCTGTGTCAATTGTGAAAACGTGACAACGACACGAGGTTTAAGAAACACGCGACCATTACCCGTAGAAAGCGGAACAGAAAGACGTGGGAATTATTTCTACCATAATTCAAACCAACAAAAATACAACGAGGTCTCTAAACACTCCAAACCGCCTTAAAATAAAATGCCAAAAACAAACACTCCGCTCCGCCAATTAAAACCACCTTCTCTTCATGCTCATTCACAATGATCATGAACAATGACACCCACGCGTGCACCCACCGATCGTCTGAATCAGCGGAACCCACGCGTGTTCCTGAACGCGTGGCGTGACCCACGACCCAGCGGAAGGTCGCGCGTTCCGCGCGGTGTCTCTTCTCGTTGCGCAACAAGCGGCATCCTCAGCGGCGTGGAACGCCGCGCAGCGCTCGCTCATTAAATCTCCGTTCCGCAAAAAGTCGGCTCGAGCTGCCCGCTACGGATAGAATCACGGTGCAGGACGTAGCAAGAGGAAAGAGGCGGAACGGCGGAGGAAGGAGGCGGAAGAAGAAGAGGAGAGAAAAAAAAAGGACGGGCGTTTCATTCACGGGGGCCACACGATCGTAATTGCGGCTGCAACTCGCCGCGATTTACCCCCGCTTAGCGTTGCACGGTTCGCGGCCACTCACATCGTACTACGATCGTTTGCCCGTGTGCGCTCCGTTCGCGAGCACAGAATACGCCGATCGCTAGCTTATGAATGAAATATTCAGCGTTCTAACGCGAACGCCGCACGCAAACCCCAGACCGGTCTTCGTCCTGGTCTTCGTGCATTCCGCGAACGCCAGCCGAACATCCAGATCCAAGTAAGTCGAGTGGTCGGCTTTTACGAAGCTGAGGAACGATTTAGATTTGTTTCCGGCTTTTGTTCAGCTTTCGTGGCAAAATAGTTCGAAGATAAATGTTCGCGGTGGTGGATCTCTAGGTTGAATAGTTCGCATCGACTTGGAGGACGAAGCTCCGGTGGAAGTTTTCACTGTACGAAGTTATTTCGAAACCCTACGAAGTTAGAGTGGGAACTATTCGTTCTTATTCTACAATATGTATTAAAATAAGATATGTGTTATGCAATAATATAGGCTTCGTTTAGATAAAAATGTACTTTTTACAAGTTACGGAAGACTTGGAGCGAACTAAACAAAATAAACGGCTGTGGCATTCATCTTCGATTAGAAAGTTCCCTTTCGTTAACTCGAACTCAAATTTTCAGAGCGCGTTAACCAAGGTATAATCTCTCACAATCGCCACTTTGAAAAAGCCAGTTTCTCCGACCGTTCTCAGCACACGGTTACAACAAGCGCAGGCAACCGAGTAGCGAAGCTGGAAAGTTATTCCTCGTCGGCCGGCTCGCTGACTAATTACAAGAAAAGGACAAGAAGGAGGATCAACGAACTTGCACAAATTATCCCGTGCCGCGGTTCTCGCTTTACACGCCGTTTACTCGCGTGAACCTCGCGGCTCGGTGCACGGCTAATTATCCCGTTTCTCCCTTGCAGCTGACACTGTGATCGCGCCAGAATACGGCCACGGGGAATACACAGGGCCATCTATCACGAGCGACACGGCCAACATTGTTTCGAATTTCCGATAGCCACGCTAACGGTATGCGAAAGCGGGCGAGCGTAAGAATGGAAGCTCGTCGCGCTTACCGTTTTCTTACGCGTGAACGTTAATTAGCCGAGTTGTTAGCTGCTACAAGACAAAACAGGGTCATGGGATCGTTATTAGATGCAGACGCGAGGCCTGTTTCACGCCATCGAATCGTGCACGCTGGTTTCGGCTTGTTTGGGCCAAAGCGCAACAAACTATATCAGAAATATTCGTACGAGCCACGAAGATCTATGATCACACATTCCTCTAAATATTTTCGAAAAATGATAAGTCGAAGAGAAGCGTTTGATATTTGTCCATGTTGCTGGATATTGCGATTGGATTTAGTGATTTGGTTAGGGCGTCGATTTGAGATATTTTTTTAGTCGAACAGATCGCGGATGTTAGTGCATCTATGGAAAATTTAAATACATTGGACGTGGAAAATGATTCTGTGATTTCAACAAGTTAAAGAGTATGACCGTTTTTCTCGCAGAATCTAATACAATTCAATTTCACCAAATCCCTGAAACTCTCTTTAATCTCCTCTCTCCTTTCACGTTATAAATTACAAATTTCATATACGCAACCTAAAAACATACCGGGGTATCCTAAAAAACCGTTTAAATTTCTGTCTACTCTATCATACCTTACAAGACACGGTTGCATCCCTCCTTCCGTGAACGATCATCGCAAAAATACCACATTACCAGTAGAAATTAACTAATGAAAACTTGCACCTGTATTACCTATCGTAATTTCAGGTGAAACAAACTCTCGAACTATTTCGTTATTAAAGCAAGTATATCAGAGAGACTAGCGCAAAAGACGTGGAAATTATAACTCGTGTCTCTGTGTGCTACGACGTGTGTTCTTTTTTTTTTCAAAATAGAGACCTGCCGTGATGTTTTTGCCGCGCGTTAAACATCGTAGAGAAATCGTCGAGCTGTATCGAGTGCCGTGCTACGAGAAAAAGGCGTACTTTTATTATATTAAATTGCGGTACGGAATAGAATGTTGCTACGAAAGGCAGGCTTCTGCTCGCGATCTCTTAGCTGATTATTATGAATTACCACTCTGAAATCAGGGTATCAATTATGCCTGCGAGCCGTGGCGCCCCCAAGTAGCAGGAAATTATAGTGCACGATGTCTCCTCGTTGATCGAACCGCGGCTTTTTGCACCGTGCAACGTTCGCGTGGAAATTGTCGAGCTGTGCAACGCCGTGTAGAACGTTCTATTTCATTAAAATGTATTTAGGGTAAAACGTTGCTCCCGGAACACCGAGATTTTTCCCTGATCCGTTGATGAGCATGAATTAAAACCGCCGTCTCCCGATCGTTTTTACCACCCTTGCTCCGTAAAGGCTTGCTAGATTACATACGAAGTCTGTCTGTTCGTTTTGGCCGACTGCGTGCAGAAATCTTGTCAAGCGACAGCGGTCTCTCAAAGAGAGAAAAAAAGATGTTTAATGCGAGTCGTGGCTCTTTTCTTTCCAGTGGGATTCTTTCTGCCTGGGATCAGATGAAGATTTTGACATTTAGCCGAGTGCTTGCAAGATTGGAAACGGGCAAGGAGAAGAAGATGAGCCGCGTTGAGAGATTTTCATGAAGCAATTGGAGCGTTTCCGGAATTGGAAATGCAACAGAGGATCGTTAGGTTTGCGTTGAAAGAACGATAGAGTAATTTCTGATACGATTATTAACACGGAGATAATATGGAGATTCAGTGGAGCCTGGAATCTTTTAATCCATTACTCGGTAATTGGATACCGTGGAGGAAAATACTGTAATTCATAATTTTACACTTTTTACGGGGGCGTAATATCATACGTCAGACAGTCTAGTCTCGACGATTAGAACGTAATTTGTTAACGCTACGTCATCGTAAATTCCAACTCTACGAATACAGAAAATTTCTTCGAAGAACGCATTCCTTCACGATCGGACTAATATCTAGAAAAAACTAGCATTGACAAAGAAACAAGAAGAAAGTGAAAGGAACCATAAAAAAGTTCGAGGATAAGTTGACAGGAGGTCCTTCTTGGGGGCAGACGTTCAAGATGGCAGAATCCACAGGAATCTCATCTCGGCGCATACATCTCATTGTCTTCGAGCAGGGATACAAGCAGAAGTTTCGTAATCTCACAAAACCTCGAGCCAGCCGTGGTGTCTGTGTGGTGCAGCTGCAGTTGCAGCGAATATATCATCCTCGTGTTGCACCGCGGGCGACCGCGGCCCTCCAAAGGCCCAGCCACGAAGACAACCTATATTTTCTCCACCCAGTTCCAAACTCTTAAGGGCAAACGCGATCCCAGACCGGGTCCAGCATCAATTATACCTTCCACAAACACGCTCTTATCTCGCGCGCTTGCCAGACAGCGCGAAATTCGAGCGCAACAACTTCCAGGGTGTGTTTAATGATTTTTCTACGTTATTGTTCCACGACTAGATATTTGGATTCCATATTTACACGTTACGGTGGACAATGCGATTCTCGAACGGATATGGAAGATCTTTTACAGAGAATAATCGATAGAAAGAGGCAAACTTTACCTTTTCTTGACATCTCGCTGATAGAAAGTTTTCCAAGAGAACCGTTTCCTTCCTACAAAATTTTATACGAGGAATATTTCTTCGATGGAAAACTTTGTTAAAGGAAAGGAAGTGACAATTGTTCGATAGAGAATTTTACGAGAGGAAAATTTCTCTGATACAAATTTTCACAGGCAAAGAATTTCCTACATACGCGATTTTATGGAAAGAATATTCCTCTCACAAAAGATTGTACAAAGATAATATTTCTTATTACACGCGTATGTGCAGGGTAGCAAACGTATTAAGAAAATCGCATTGTCCTATTTGCAACGCGATTCGAACGACGATGAAGCAAGAACTATGGAAACGGACAGGAGAATTCTTTCCAGTCGAGGATCCACAGAAAGTGTTGGTCGAGCGTGAAAAGGATCGAGGTTCCTCGAAAAATAACGGCTTGCTTCTTGCCAAGTTCGAATTCTTGACCCCGAAGGATCTCGAAGCCGCGGTTATAACCTCGGAAGAGCACCGACTCGGAACAGCGTCACGTTAACTGGTCGCGATGGAGCCGTGGAATCTTTTCTCTCGGTCCATCGGTTTCTCTATGGGGAAAAACAGTCGCTGTAGCTTGCCCGTTGCAAAATCGAGTCGAGGCCTCCGGGAACGAATTTATGGAATGTA